TTTTTTTTTTTTTTTTTTTTTTTTTTTGGGGGGGGGGGGGCAAGATTTTCGTAAAACCCCATACACTAATAACGCATGCAGCAATTTCATACTATATTACATAAATAAGCTTAGTTAATATGAATGGAGCCGAAACATGAAAATGCACAATAAATGTATAAGGTTGGAAGAAAATAATAATATGCATTACTAGTTATGGCGCTAATTAACAAACAAGACAGGATCAAATGCGCATTACGCTAAAAACTATAACTGATAAAACTGACTAAAATTAATAATAATAATCGATTTAAAAGAGCGAAGCTAAAACTTTGCATCCAGAGGACCAGGTTAATCATCTCGACAGCAAAGGATACTCAACGAAACAGAATCCACAAGGAGTCTTTTTTATCTTATCTAGTCCCATAATGATCCTTTTTAGGTCCCCAGCTCGCGAGAATAACTCGTAGATCTGTTCTTCCGTAGTGTAAAACGACAAATTTCCCACGTACAATGTCGCACTCGTTTCCAACTTTTTTTCTAACTCGTCGCGAGTGCCCTAAAAAGCGGACGGGCAAAACAAAGATCGTTAGGCCTTGAAACAGTGGTTTGTTTAACAGTGTAAATTTAAAGATCAAAGGGAAAATAATCACTTTGAACTGCTGGTCGCGATAAGCGCTGAGGTCCGCCATTTTGCTTTGCAAACAAAAAGCATTCAGCTTTCGTTCATATATGACGTAGAAACCGTTTTGGATAGTAAACCACTGATCAAATACATGTACAGGCGCGTTTTTCCGTCGATAAGAGGATATGTATTGTTCTTCAGTTTATCGTACTTGGACAGCCCAGATCTTGAAAATTTCTGCACATAAAGAGAGAATTGCCCTTGAAATGAAAATGTTTTTTTTACAATTTATTTGAGCTCTGTTTTAAACGTCACCTGACATTTTTTTAGGGGAAAAACACCGTGGTTCGATTTCATGTTTTTCATATCATACTGTATTTCACTTGCTACATTATTAAATAACTTAAATAATGAGACACAAAATTCTGATAAGGAGACAGTGAATTTCACAAAGGATCTCTTGAGGAAGCCGGTGGCGTTTTGTTTTGATTGCTTCTAATAAATAATGCAAAACTTAAGGGCAAATGTAATTTAAACCTAATTTCATCGTTCTTCGGGTTGCCTAAATCTGCTTTACCACTAAAAACCTAAAGAAACTGTTTTTTAAAAGATGAGAAGGGACCTTTCATGCAAAAAATTTTTTCTCTCGATCTCGGGGAAAAGCCTTCAGTTTTGGCGGGAATGTTTTGACCAATCACACGCTTCAAATAACGTCATTTGCATTTGAGCCCCATGCTTGTTGTCGATTGATAACTGGAATATCTGGTTTTAGCGGATTGAATTTTCTTATTTCACTCCTTCTTTCCTTGAAAGAAGAGAATTCTTCAGTAGGGAAATAACTGCCATGTCAGTTAACGGCGTCTTAAACGCATTTTGTATTGCATCAGGAATTTTGTTCGCGTCAAAGCTATGTTCGTCCGTTGGTGTCGTTTCGGACGAAGACTGTTTATCACGAGGACGGAACTGTACTTGGTGCTTAAGCGATGGAAACTGTGGGTTTTGCGATCGATGCGGAGATCATTGTCATAAACCAGGGGCGATTCATTCACTGGAAAACTGTACGAACTGTGCGTCTTGTATTCCGGGAAACCTTGCTGGATCAAAAAATAAAGGACATGAATGTCGCGCAGAATGGTGAGTATTTTACAGCATAACAAACGGACGAGACTCCCTTTTCTTAGTTTCTCGATCGAGATAAATAAAATTACCCTCATGCCTTCAGCCCGATATCTATTTCCAGCGGTACTAGAATGTCGTTAATGGGCCTTTTTATAGTCATTGCTTATGAAATATCATGATGTTATTGACAAGCTTTCGTATGAAAAGATGGCGTGTTCTTTTCACAATAAGGCCTTTTGCCTTTACCCGTCAATGTGCCATGTTTAAATTGTCCTCCCCAAGTTAAAAGATGATTTGAGAGCTCTCCCTTCCACAATTTTTAAGTAACATTCCTTTTCAGGCTCCAAAATAGGCTGCTTCAGTTTAGTCAGTTTACATGACAGTGATATGACCGATTTTGTATCGGTTTTGACAGACATTTATCAACAAAGGCTATTCGATTTGCTTTGATTAGGCTTACATTATAAAATGCAATCGTTATATTTCATTGCTGCGCGAGTTCATCTCAACAAACCTGTCGTCCTTTGTTGATTTTTTTTTATGAAAATAACTTTCTGTAATTACTCAAAATTGCAAGGTTTCATTCTTGCCCGTCTTTCAAGGAAGGGAAATTATTGTTATCATGAAACGTCATGATTTCATGAAATCATGAAAAGGGAAATTATACTGAAAACCCTTCAAAAGGAGAGGCCCCAGTCTGCATGACGGACATCTCTACTGGGCAGAATAAATTGTTGATTTTCTCCAGATGATTTGTGGGTACGCTAGGGATAATCTCTTTTTCAAACGAATGGAGCATATTAATTCTCGAGAAGATATGAAATGGTTTAAAATGGAAGTACTTTTCATGGTTTGTAGCTCATCACCCATTTGATTTTAATTGAAGAGACTGGGGCAATGTACTTCCAAATTGATTGGTAATATTTCTGTGGATTAATAGTGCCGCCATCTTATAACTGCTCAAGAAAATGTTTTATTACCTCTTGCAAATGTTGGGAAGCTAGGGTTGGGTGGTAAACACAGGAACAATCACACGGCAG